CTGTGGTCCATTAGTCCTTTGGACTAGTCTTTTCCTTGTATCCTGTTCTCTTCATTCTCCCTTGCTCCCGAAGGGGTGAGACCAGTGGAATATCTTAGATGGCTGCTCACAGGCTTTTAAGACCCCAGGTGCTACTCACCAAGTAGAATGTAGAACATTGTCATTATAAACTGTGTTATGCCAATTGAACTAGATGTTCCCCGAGACCATGGTCCCCACAGCACTCTGCCCGCAGCTGGGTTTTCTTGTCCTTGCATGTATAACCCTGGGTGCCTGAGGGGGGTTGGTTCCAGGAACCCCCACAGATACCAAATCCAAGGATGCTCAAGTCCATTATATAAAATGGTGTAGTATTTGCACATCCTCACGTATACTGTAAATCATCTCTAGATTACTTATAATATCTAATACAATGTAAGTGCTATGTAAATAGTTGTTATACTATATTGTTTAGGGAATAATGACAAGAACAAAGTCTATTATTTTTTCCAGAGTATTTTCATCCACGGTTGGTTGAACTCACTGACACAGAACCCATGGAAAGGGAGGGCCAACTATACTAAGTTTTAAAGCTGAATTCTTTTAATATGCTGTCTAGCCCTGCAACTTGTAACTAACAGTATTAAGATATCATTCACTTAACTGATAGTTAAACTTATTTAAATGCCAAAGAATATCAAACACCTCATTATCTTCAAATTAACATGCATTGGGTTTCACTTTTAGGCCAGTTTTCTGAACTAGTGAGTGGTATATATTTCGTATTTCATAAAAACTAACAAAGCATTGACCAGTTACTCAAAAGTGCTTTACAGCATTCATTAGTCAAACAGGAGTACAGTTCTTCTGCAATGACATATTCCGTCTTTACTCTGTCTTTGGGGACTAACTCTATTTGACAATGTTTCTTATCCAGATCTGGAGTGAGTCCCTCCATCTTAGCAGATTGCAAGCCTCTGCCATAATGAGTCCTGCACAGGGGCTGAAAATCTTGTTGATTCTTTTTTTAGTTAACAGTAGAAAATCCTACTGTTGAAATCCAGACACAACATAGAGCAGAAGTTAAGAACACAGTCTAGGTTCAAATCCTATTTCCATCACCTACTAGCAGTGTTGTTGTTAGGTGTCATTGAGTCCTTTTTGACTCATAACGACCCCATATCAGAGTAGAACTACCCCATAGGGTTTTCTTGGCTATAATTTTTATGGAAGCAGATCGTCAGGTCTTTTTCTGGGGGATCCACTGGGTGAGTTCGAACCACCAACCTTTTGGTTAGCATTTAATTGTTTGTCCCACCAGGGCTTCTTACTAACAGTGTGCCCTCAGGCAAATCATTAAGCTTCTCAGTACTTCTTTCTCTTCATCTTTAAAAAGAGAATAATAATACCCACTTACAGACTTATTGGGGGGATTAAATGAAGGAATAAATATGCTAATCACTTATAACAGTGCCAAGTGCAAAGCACTTGTCATTTATTATTCAGTATGCCTGAAGTGGGACCCAAGCATTGATATTTCTGGTGTCACAGCCAAGTTTGGCAGCTACTGAACAGATATGTAATCAATTGAGTGTGGGAGGAGGTTGGGAGAGCATGTACCATCCTGCCTGATTATCCGGTCTCTAGTTTTTATCTCCAAAATGGTTTAAACTTATTCCCTGTTAAAGAATTAACTTGGAAATTTTTCTAGTTATCCTCCTGGCAAAATTTCAGCACCTTTGTCTTAGTTATCTAGTGCTGCTATAACAGAAATAGCACAAGCAGATGGCTTTAACAAACAAAAATGTATTATCTCACAGTCTAGGAGGCTAGAAGTCTGAACTCAGAGCGCCAGCTCCCAGGGAATGCTTTCTCTCTCTGTTGGTTCTGGGGGAAGGTCCTTGTCATCAATCTTCCCCTGGTCTAGTGGCTTCTCAGTGCAGGGACCCCAGGTCCAAAGGACATGCTCTGCTCCTGGCACTTCTTTCTTGGTGGCATGAGGTCCCTCTCCTCTCTGCTGGTTTCTCTCTTTTATACCTCAAGAGATTGACTCAAAATACAACCTAATCTTGTAGAGTGAGTCCCACCTCATTAACATAACTGCATCTCATCCTGCCTCATTAACATGGTACAGGTTAGGATTTAGAATACATAGCGTTAGGGTTAGTTAATCACATCATATCACAAAATGGTAGGTAACCACACAATACTGGGAAACCTGGCCTAGCCAAGTTGACACACATTTTTGGGAGACACAATTCAATCCCTAACAGCCTTAGAAACTGCTTCATTGAAAATTAATAAACTGTATTTCAACACAACTTTCTGACTTCTGTTAAGATAGGCTACATCTGTGTGGTTCACCATTATATTTCTATAGCCAAGCATGTTGCCTGGAAAATAGTGTTGTTGTATTGTTTTTAGGTGCCATTGAGTTGCTTCCGACTCATTGCAACCCTATGTACAACAAAACGAAACACTGCCTGGTCCTGTGCCATCCTCACAATCGTTGTTATGCTTGTGTCAATCCATTTCATCAAGGGTCTTCTGTCTTTCAATGACCCTCTACTTTACCAAGCATTATGTACTTCTCCAGGGACTGGTCCTTCCTGATAACATGTCCAAAGTACATGAGATGAAGTCTCACCATCCTTACTACTAAGGAGCATTCTGGCTGTACTTCTTCCAAGACAGATTTATTTATTTTTCTGGCAGCCCATGGTATATTCAATAGTCTTCACCAACACTACAACTCAAAGGCGTCAATTCTTCTTCAGTCTCCTTTTTTCATTGTCCAGCTTTCACATGCATATGAGGTGACTGAAAATACCATCGCTTGGGTCAGGCACACTTTAGTCCTCAAAGGGACATCTTTGCTTTTTAACACTTTAAGGAGGCCTTTTGCAGCACATTTGCTCAATGCAATACAACATTTGATTTCTTGACTGCTGCTTCCATGGGTGTTGATTGTGAATCCAAGTAAAATGAAATCTTTGACAACTTCAGTCTTTTCGCTGTTTATCATGCTGTTGCTTATTGGTCCAGTTGTGAGGATTTTTTTCTTTATGTTGAGGTATAGTCCACACCGAAGGCTGTAATCTTCGATCTTCATTAGTAAGTGCTTCAAGTCCTCTTTGCTTTCAGCAAGCAAGGTTGTGTCATCTGCATATCATGTGTTAATAAGTCTTCCTCCAATCCTGATGCCCCGTTCTTTTTCATATAGTCCAGCTTCTCAGATTATTTGCTTAGCATACAGATTGAATAAGTATGGTGAAAGGATCCAATTCTGAAGCACATCTTTCTTGACTTTAAACCATGCGGTATCCCTGGTTCTGTTCGAACGACTGCCTCTTGGTCTATGTACGGGTTCCTCATGAGTAGGTACCCGATATATTAGTGTTTAGTAAATAAATTCCTAAGGGGCAGACTATCTTCAGTAGCTGCTTGGATGTGTGTAGAGCTAGAGACCTTCTTTCTCACATTTTCCACAGTTACGTAGTTGTAGAGCCTGAGGTGTGATAAACCTCCATTAATTGCTGGCTAAGTATGTCATACTGGTTTTATTGGAGTTTTTCCCTATGTGGCATCTGGTCTCTACTACTCC